GTCACCCATTTTACTCTTGATTATACATTAAATATTTCATGTTATATAAAATATAAAATGTTATAAGTTTTATATTAGTAATATAGACCATTATAATTTTATCTTAGTCATAAAAAATACATTTAGATGATACACCTCTTTACATGACAAATTAGATAATTTGTCATACCAATTTCTACATTATATATTTTTGATCCATAGAATACTCCATGCAACTGAACGTTTAATTCACCTTATCATTCAAAAAATAGTGATTACTTTTTACATATATCAATACAAACTTTTAAAAATATATTATATTAGTTATTCTTACAGCAATTCATAGTTTGACTAATAATTATTATTTATTTATATATTTTAATTATAGTTAGGTCATAAATATTATTTTATTGAATAATGAACTGCCAGATATGTATATTAATTCATTCACTTAGCAAATGTCATATGTTTAAATTATATATTATTATTGATTTGGTGATATAAGTTTAATAACTTAAATATTTAGCAATTGTTTTTGAAATATTTAATACCTCAAATGTAATAGGAACATGAATAACTGTAGCGTATATTGCTTTATATACTTAAAACATACATATTTCTATTAAACATAGATCAGTAATTATGCATTAGATACTTATTCTGACAAGAAATTATGCTCTATAACAATGGTCGCAACTGGTGAACTGTGATCCGAATCAAGACCGTGGAAGKAAGAAAACTGGACCGTCAACATGTCTTTAAAATTGTTTGTCTTCATATTAAGTACTATTTGAAAAACATAAAAATTTGACAACAATTTTTTTCATTGGACCTCATTTATTAATTATTTCAATCTTCTTGACTCCAATAGAAATTACTAGCMGACTCCTCTATATGTTGCTTCAAGTTAAATTATCATGTTACTATAAAAAATTAAAATAATGTATCGCCATTTCCAAGTTTCAGTTCTAAGGCAGTTTGCCACTGGTAGTACAATTTTTGGTTTTGATCCTATTTTGTATCTGTTATTCAAAAAGCAAATGTTAAACAAAAGTATATCTTAAAAACATCGAATTATTTATATATTCCTTGAAAAAGTCTYAGCAAAAGAAGTCATTACCATGTACTCCAAAACAAATAAATGATTAAGTACAAAGTTTTGAATATTTAAATCATAATATTCTTGATAACTTTTTATGTATTTAAATTTATGACGACTATATATT